GCGGGATAAGTAATGGATGGATTAACAAGGCTGAATAGTGGATCAACAAGGCTGAATAGTGGATCAACAAGGCTTGACAAATTCTAATATTCAAACAAAAAGATAAACACGAGAAAAACAAGTTGACACCTTTTATTCAAAAAGAGATACTTCCCTCTCAGATTATACAGTACATAATAATTAAGGATATAGATGAGCTATTAAGATACTCATCTGAATTTTTCTTTTGTAAGTGTAAAGGAGAAAAAAAATACATCGCTCGTTTCAGTTGCCACCTTGTGTACAACTAATTTATGTCAATGTTCAAGTTTCAGTTTATCTTTATTTCTATTGCTTACATGTTTTATATGCCCTCGATATAATGCAAGAATTTCACAGATAATTGCCCATGCATGGACTTTTCATGAAATTTGTTAACAAATTTTAGTAAGAAAGAACACTTTTACATAACACCTATGCAACATTTACATTTGCATGTCAACAATCTTCATCAAACTTGAAATCAAAGTTTAAATAGAAAAATAACAATTTCGTAAAAATGTTAATATATGATAAATAAAACATTTGCAAAGCATACACTACCTTTTTGCTATTACTTAACAGGTATGATACTGTGTCGGATCTATTGAATACAAATTACAAAAATTGCTTAGACTATCTACTTCAGAGGCCAAAATTGTTTAGTTTATCACCAAGTTTTACATGTAATTGTATTTGTGAAGAGTCCCTATAACAATCGCCCTCCTCTCCCTTCACTAGTGTATAACTTAGTTTAGGCTACCCAAGTATTTAACCTTCACCTGAGAACAATCAATGTTCAGCAATAATTATACATGTAAACAATCGTCCTCGTCAAACTGCTGTACGTGTAATTATCGCCCATGCCCATCGGAAAATGTTTATATCCTTGTTTCCAAAAATCGTCTATCCAAATTACCATGTTATGATTATCCATACCTCTGCCGATTAACAAAACCAATATACAAATGTAGATTGCCTCAAGCAGCTTTGGTATTGACAATATGATTTTTAAACACCAAAAGATTTACTTTCAGGTTGTTTAACATGCCTTGCAGGCTAA